CTGCATTGGGAACACTGATATGGCTTTTCTCCAGTATGGATCCTCTCGGGCATAATTCTACAATCTTTGCTTTTCCCACAATAGGCAGATCTGTGGATCTTTTCTACCACTGACATACCTGGATTCTCAAGGACGTCAAAAATACCCTGGATCCTTTCTTGGATGGAGCGTTGATTCAAGCTACTATTTCCTTCCTCACAGGGAAAGGCCTGCATTACGGTCTGCCTTATGTGGCTGTCGAAGTGACCTTTTCCTTCCCACTGGCTTCCAGATATTTCCCTCTTTCTGAACTAGATTACCCCCCCCCCCCCCTTGATATTTTGATATGTTTTTTCCACAAACTGTATTTTCTCCAGTTCAAAACTCTTTTCCTGGTTTTCTCTTCCTTGTCTCTAAGCTGCTAGGGAAGAAGAGTTTTGGGGTTTTCCAGAGGAACTAATAAGATTTTGATTGCTGCCTTGGTTTCCTCTGCATTTTAATGCTGCTTGTGATTCAGTTCTCCACGGCGCTCTCTTTGGCATTCTTTTGCCTGTTAAGATTCACATAAAATGGTAACTTGACCACTCACATTAATTAAGATTCATTATCAATCTACATGTCTAGTGAGATCCAAGCTCAAATACCCATTCAGTTATGAAATGTATTTGTTGACTTGGGTCAATCAAGAGTTAATAGAATGGCAAAGAGTTATCATCAAATATATCTGGAAATGCTGGGGACAAATTATGCATATACATAAACTGTGTTTCCCCAAAAATAAGACCTGGTCTTTTGAGCCCTAAAAAAAAAAAGCATCAGGCCTTAAATTCCGGGGATGTCTTACACACTTAAATTAGTACCACTGTAGCTAGGCCACCCACACCCTGACACCTGTTGCATTGCCGCCTGACTTCTGTGCCTGCTCGTAGCCAGACACCGTGTAGCTTTCACGCAGCCCATGCAAGCTGTAGCCAAGCTGTTTCTCAGCTGATTAAAACACTTTTAACTTCTGGAGGATTTTTTTTTTTTTTTTTGAGAAAATCATGTTTAAAAACGTTTCATCCTTTTCCTTTTGGCTAAACTCCTCCAACCACTTCCACCTGACTGCATTTTCTTTAACTCTTGCATCCATTCTGAGAAGGCAGAGAGAAATGTAAGCCAAGTATGCATATGGTATGCTGCTGCTTGCGGCAGGACGCCATTGGGCGCGTCACGCCAGTGCTGCCGTTCACAGCAGGGACGAATCCAGGGCCCACTGATAATGGTGGCTGCTTCCAAGACACAGTCATGAGGCCCAAGGATGTGTGTCCTTCCCTCCCTCCCCAACATGAGGATCAGAGATCTTCCAAAGGTGAAGAGGAGGAGGAGGAGGAGGGTATGAGGCCTGGTGGGGTAGCAATCAGACCTGAGGACTGCAGGGACGCAGCGGGAATGGGGAAAATCCTGTGGGGACCCTGGGGAGCTCAGGGAAGCAGCAGAGATGGGAAACAGAACATAGGGTGTCTTGGAGGGTGGGGGAGCCCCAGGGGTGCCTGTGACAGGCAAGCCTGGACCTGCTCTGGGCCCTCAAGAGTTTTCCCCAGCCCTGAGGAAGCCAGTACTCTGCTTAGCAACTTGCATATTTGATTAATGGCTGCCTCAGGGAGGGCAGAGGGATTCGGATACTTAAGGAAAGCAGTTTCACTCAACAGTCATTGCAACATGCAACCGTAATTCAAGGCCCATAATAGTTGTATCTTGAAGACTACTTTTATGCTGGCTGGGGAATTCGGGGGCTCAAAATCTGGGCGAAACCAAGGTAGAAGACTGAAACTCCACATGTGGGAATTACATAATCAACATACAAAAAAGCTCCACCCAAAATTCCTTTTCGAGGAATACCACTACTTCTGGAAAAGGAAATATCCAGAAGCTTCTGCTGATAACCAGAAACTAGTAGTTAGCCATTTTCCATTTTCCTTTTCTCTCCACCTACAAGTTTAATCCTGAGAAATGTTTGAGTAAAATGAATCAGGCCATAATCCAAACAATCAATTTCTTACCTACACTTTCAATGAGATATTATAAATGAAATTCAACACTTCTCTAAAGCCATAAACTTTTCATCATATGGATTACCTTGTGTGCAATAAGGGGTAATTTATATTTGAAGTAACATCTGCAGACTGGAATTTCAAAGATTTCTCCACAGTGTGAATCCTCTGGTGTATCACTAGGTGAGAATTCTGACTGAAACTTTCCCCACAGTCAGGACATTCAAAAGGTTTGACTCCTGAGTGAGTCCTCTGATGTAGCACCAGCGTGTAATTGCGACTAAAACCTTTCCCACAGATACGACATTCAAAGGGTTTCTCTCCTGTGTGAGTCCTCTGGTGT